TGGATGTATATATACATATATATACATTCGGCACTATGCACGTAAATATACACGACCCTTTTGTGATTTTGAAGCTTTCGGATAATTTTCATTGGTCAAAATATACAGAATGACTTAAAACAGTCAAGAAACTACCGCCACCTTTGTAAAAACCTATCATCAATGGTCGCTGTATGATCTATTGATTTACTACTGTGCAAGTGTGGGACACCTGTGTCCATATAGCACTTGTTTCCACCAGAATTCCCTCTATTATATTTTTGACATCGGCAAACGAAACGATGTGTTAAACTTGCGATGAGCGAGTCCAAAACACATCAATTTCCTAGAAATTGGAGTTTTAGATATCTTGTGTATTGAGACTGTTTTATTCCCTATATCACTTTCCTGTACTAACCAATCGTTCCTAGTGATGTGATGTGTTGCAGTTGACACCAAGCCCTCAGCCCGTCCACCCTACAATTAAGATGAAACTCAACTCCTCACCATCTAGAAGAGTCCCAAATGTCACGTGCCAAGAGTTCGGTACAAAACAATCCGCTGCAACAATACCACGCGACCGAAGGCTTAAACAATGTTTATTTGTTAAAGATCCCTCCACATCGTGCATTACCTCCTCAATTGCTCTTGTATTCTCATACTATGAACCTACGTAGCAAAGACCAATCAATACTGGCGACAACTAATCACTTCTAAATATAGCTTGCTTTACGAAACCATAGAGACCCCAGATAATCTAATCCAGACATTGTGTGCGAATTGGACTACATACAGTGCACAGCCTCTGCTTGCAAATGGCGTACTCATACATATATCCCACCGGGGGTAGCTGTTTGGCATACCCAACCTTGCACCATAGCCGCGTTTGATGGGAACCAGACCGCATGCAGCCGCCCTAATAGTTGAATACTGGCTACACCACACGCGTTGGGTTGGCAGTCAGTCAACGGCTCCACAGACCCATTGACCCGTGATATACACAGCACACAACGCCAATGGAATCACTGGGCCAATTATGCGGTCTCATAGTCAGTCACCTGTACTTCAGGCTCTACCTCTATGATCATATCGCCCAGCACCCGCCGACGCCTGAAGTGCACCCAGTTGATGGGCGCGTACTTGTCGGTCTCCCCTTCTCTGAACATCTGCTTGAGTGGCCTGCACTCGGAAGTATACGACGGATTGAAGAAATACGGCGCCGAGAATCGATCGCTCGTGTTGGACGCAACGACCCGATGTAACGGTGCCTTGACCCGTCCGTTGGTGAAGATTTGCATCATGTCACCTATGTTGAGCACAAGCGCATCGGCGATGGGGGGTATTTCGGCCCATTCATCGTTGAGTCGAACCTGCAGACCTCCCACTTGATCCTGGAAACGCGCAAACGGGAAAATGATTTTCAGAAATGCGCAGGGTTGATATATATATATATATATATATATATATAGACATGGCGGATGCGACTATATAGGCATTGTGCACCACTCACCGGTTAATACAAACGAGAATGATAAATTAGAACTTGTCAGAACATATAAGGCTACATAGTTCTCTGGTTGTGGAATATGTTCCGCAGATAAGGAAAGTATTCTGCATTCAAAATCACCAGCGAGCCTTCATGTCCGTTTGCATATTCCACAACCAGGGAATTATGTAGTCATATTTAAAAAAAAGGATACTCTAGCGGGGTCTACAAATGGGCAAACTCATTTGGGCCCATTAATTATTTTGTAAAGGGTCTCAAATGGGCAAAACCCATTTCAGCCGGATTTGAAACGGTCACGGACGTTTTCTGGAGGCGGACAAGAAATCGGTGATAATGTCAATAGGGATTCAAGAAAAGCCTGCGCTTTCAGTAATAAACTAAAACTTGTACTCATTGGCCGAGGAGGCGTATATTGTGAATGTTGTAGATCGCAGACATAGGGCCTCACTCTCTAGCTGTGTAACAAAGATGGGAGCACAATCAAACTACCACACCAAAATATATACATATACATGTATATATGTATGCATATACATTTGTATATATATATATAGCCATACAAGTACACAATAGTATGATGTACACAATCTAACTTTCAATACCTGATACAAAAGCGTCACCAATCCGGCGTCGTTGTGCTCGTGCACGCCAATGGTATGGTCTGTAGGAGCGAGTGGGTAGTAATTCAATCGAAGGAAAGACGAGTCTGTGTCCACACCAACGGCCTCTCTGAAATCTGCTGTATCCATACCCATAGCACTCACCTGAGCGGTGAACAATGTGTAGAGTATTATTTCAGCATACGTGTATATTTTGCTAATATACCTTACGTATATGTGAAGGTAAAAATTACTTGGCGCACTGTTTTCCAGGGAATACGTATTTCCGTGAGCCTTGCATGAGTGTATATTTATAGATATTCGATAGTTAATGATATGTGTGGAAAATATAATCGAACCCCGTATAGGCATTTGTGCACCTGTGAATAGGTGAATTATGTTCCATGCGTTTTGTATCTATAGGAATGTAATCCATATATCTACGTGTAGATACTTATAAATGTCAATCTTCATCGACAGTCTACTCCACCTTTCGGAGACATCGAAATCTGCACATACAGTGAACCTGGATATACAAGACATATACTAAAATTGTGTATCCTTATCATTCATGTCTTAGACGATGCCGACAGCGATAGGTAAACATTTCCATAATCACAGATTCGTACCCCTGTAGTTAGGGTTGTTCGCCATCGCTACTAGCCCATCATGATTCTATATGTAAATATCTAATTATTACGGTGGGTCGCTTAAGCGGATGAAAAAGTTCGCCAACTGAACGTCAGAGATTCTGTGCATCAAACAGAATCCTTCCCAAAGAAATGCGCCCACTGAGGACAAATGTATGTATCTGGACGAAATATTGGGCGTATCTATATATAATATAATATAACCAAGGAGACTCGGCTCACCTCAGCGTAATTTTCTCCACAAGAGTCGCTATCTATACAACAGAAAGTTTCAAATCAAGCTCACGAATGAGCACACACACACGCGCGCGCATGATTAAACATTCGAAATACAATCTCTTACCAAAGCGTCGATGATGATCAGAGATACTCGCCTCATCTCAGCGTAGTACTCTTTCATGGTGCTTTTAAAGTGCGGTACCATCTCCTGGTCTGGCCACTGGTTTTCTTGATCAAAATCGCTGCACACATCCGTGGTGGTATTCTCGGGACCGAAGTCAAAACACTATCATGGCATAATACAAATACAAAAGGGAAGTATTCGTATCGGTTTGATAGGACGGTGATGTGTTGCCCTGATATGTACAACGCCACACGCTTGCCATGTCGGCTCAACTGTTCTGCGGGGCATCACATACCTTGAGCACAACGGCCAAACCACAAAACGGCAGATACGCATACTCTAAGCCGATTCTCGCCCCCTAACATGGTAAAACTAGTCTGTATATCAACCACATCCAAAGCCACACTCACACAAGCCCTATGCCGCAACTCTCGCCGTTTCTCGATCCATTGCGAGTACGACAACGCCATGAACTCAACAAAACACCACCGCACACCAGTCTCTCTCTCTCACTCTCATACCCTTTTGTGGTCGATTTTCTTCTTTGTGAACTCGTCATCAAAGTAACCTCTAAAGTTGTCTCTGCGACGGCGAATAGCATTCCGTACACTTTCCGGTGTCTTGAAGAATAAGTCCATCTCATGCAAAAACCTTTTCTGGAGATCAGGTGACAACCCATGATTGATAACTTGTAGGAACTGTGCATTGAAAGTAGTAATATGGTGGATGTCAAGATGAGTGCACACAGAAACACACATATATTTAAATATATATATATATATATTTACATATAATATAATATAATAAACACTT